ATTTTTTTATTAAAAAATATCAACTTTTAATATTCTAATTGAAAAATCTTTTTGTTACACTAATATTATCATTTAATTAATCTTTAAATAAAAAATTAACAAAATTAATATTTTTAAATAAAAAAATATTAAATTCACATCCTTGTACATAGGGCTGGGCATGGTATAGTACGGTTATTATACCCCTCTCAAATGATGGTAACCGTTCTAAGTGATAATGAAAAAAAATTTACCACTTCCATATCAATTGATGATTTTTTGATAATAGCTACCAATCATTTTTAATAGTAATGAAACTTGCCTTATCAATATCATCTCATATTACCATCTTTAAACTTATTTTCTCCATTATCAATTAATTCAAATCATTTAAAATTCAATCTTAAAAGCTCAAAATTATCATTTTTTGAGGATTAGGATTAAAATTTCAAGGGAAAAAAGAAATTGGGGCTAGGGCTTTTATTAAATAGGTAAAAAAAGTGACAAACGATGAGAAACTTACGTAAATATATGAAGGTTCAAATATCAACACTTTAAAACCTAGATCTGCCTTTTCCTAAGTTTGGATTAGGGTTTTGATTTTGAGATTTCAAAACCCTAATACAAGCTCAAATGTTTTAATAACCTTTGCCTTGCCTTGAACCAATGGGATGAAATTGTGAACAAGTGGAGACATGAAGTGGAGAAAAAAGAGAATTTCTCTCGCTGGTGGTAAAGAAAGAAGTAAAGGAATAAAGTTGGGGTTAATGAGATATTACTATTTATATTGTTAAATTGTTGACAAAATTACAAAAATTGTCACTATTTTAGGAAAAAAATTATTAAAAATATTCGAAAGTTGAAAAATATAAGTTTTGAGCCAAGGACAAATTCAATAATTTGGGAGCCCATACCATAAATATAGTAATAAAACTCTAATACTAATCTCGTATCACAAATCTAAATGGTATTATCATATTATCATTTAAACCTCTTGTATAGTAATTTCTCATATAGGTTTTACTAATAATAAGACAGTATAATGGTAATTACCACATTTATGGTATAGTGCTCAACCCTACTTGTACACACCTTCTCGACGTCTGGTCCACCAACAAAAAACACTCCTGTCTACGCATATATGCTGCTGTCCCCATCCCTTTGTTCATTTTGCTTTCTTAAACTCTAAGATTCGTTACTTACTACTTGGTCATCTCCTAAGTTTCCTTGCTGTTACTGTCTCTGGGGACTGTTTCTGTTCTCCATGTTTAGTCCACTAATAAAAAACACTCGTCTACTTGGCATATATGCTGCTGTCTCGATGCCTGTATTTATTTTGCTTTCTTAAACTCTAAGATTCGTTACTTACTACGTGGTCGTCTTCTTAATTTCCTTGCTGTTACTGTCTCTGCTGACTGCTGCTGTTCTCCCAAAGTTCACCGATCATCCTGAAATCCGGCAACTTCCAATCGCACCTTTTTCCATCACCTTCTATATCTCGGGTTAGAATCTGCTAACAAATTTTTGCAGCGTAGTGTTTTATTAATTCATAATCACTTGCTGTGTTGCTCAAGAATTTGTTTTTAATTGCGTTGATATCCAGGAGTGTTTTCTTGGTTTTTTTTTTTTTATTTGCTTTTTTTTTTTCCTGGGGTTTATCTTTCCCTTATTTGCTCTTACTCCACAGTGTTTTATCTCCTCACTTAAAACTTCAAACTCTTTTCTAACATTAACCCATTTCACTTGAAATTGTATTTCTGGTTGCTTGGATTTCTTTTTCCCTCTGGTTCAATTTGGGTACTTTTTTTAATTGTTTAGTTTGGTTGTTGTCAAAAGTATTCAAGGCTAAGGCTTTACAACTATCAGCCTTCTGCTGCCGATCACTATCCATTACTTAGTTTTTTAATTGGATTTTCAAAACCCCTTTTTATAAAGCAATTGGTAAAATTGATAAATTATGAAGATTTCTCGATTGCTTTTAACATTCTTAATTCTTATACTACACTATAATCTGGGCTTGTGGTGAACTGGTTGTTCACCTCCCTCTCCATGTTCTATCATACACCAAAAATGAAGATGTTCATGTGCTTGAATATCTTGCATTTGGTCTTCCATCTTCTCAGCTTTTAGTATTCTGTGTTTGTAAATTTTTTGTTGATTAATATTCCATTGTTCCAACATAGACATTGCATGCATGTTGTCCTTAGGGACGATAGGATGGCAATCATTGTCATTCCTTGTTTTTGTGTTATTAATTGTCACAAATTATAGGTTGAAATTAACCTTTCGGTTATTAGTTGCTCCCAAAAAGGCACCTGATAGAATAACGTGTGCCAGGGGTGCAAATCTGCTGCAAACACTGGAAATGGGCCGGTCTAAGAAAGGCAGTGGACGTGGGAAGGGTGGAGGCCCAGGGCCTACCTCTCAGAAGAAGATAACCGGGGTGGGATCTGGTGATGGTCAGAAGGAGAAGCAACAGGCAACTGCTGTTGCAAGGGTGAGTAATTCTGTCACCCTCATATCTAATGGATCGACTTGCCTCATGTAATGTGAGAGGGTTTAATGAACCTGTTAGATGATAGATCTTAGCAATTTTATAATGAACATTCCTTTATTAGGTGTAATGGAAACTAGAGTGAAGAATTCATAAATGTATGGAGATTGCATCTAGATGTTGCGGGAATATGGAGATCTTAACTACTTATACTTAATGCTATAAATGATTGAATTTGGGTAGTATGGGACAAGCTGTTAGTGGATGCTCAGTTATTGAGATGTGGAGATCAGTACATGCATTACTCTGTGGCCTATAGTAGTGAACTGGGGTTTCTGGTTACTTTCATCTATTCATCTATGCTGCCACTGATATTCATTCAAGGAGGAATTTATATGTTGAAATTAACCTTTCTATTATAAGTTTCTCTTTTGATAATAGTTATTCCTTGTATATGTTTTATTAATTAGCACAACTTGTAGTTTTTTTTTTATCTTCTCTGAGTTTTATTTGCTGATAGTTGGAATGAACATGCTGATGGCAATGCAGGGAGGAAGTACTGCCCCTATCTCCATTGCCCAAGCTCTTGGTAATGCCTTTGTGGAGCAGTATTACGATATTCTTCACCATACACCAGAATTGGTGCATGGGTTTTATCGAGATTCAAGTTTTCTAAGCAGGCCAGATGTGAATGGAAATATGACGACAGTGACAACAATGAAGGTAAGAAGCTTTGTAATGCTCATTCTTGAGCTGTACAAGAACATGCTGGTTATTTATACCCTTAAATTTAATTGTTTTCTAGAATGGGAAAAATGTAATGCAACCTCAGGCTTTTAGTCTATTTCCGTTCTTTCTTTTTAATTAAATTTACCTGTAATACAAATTGAATGATTGTATTGTTGATTGCTTTGATGTAGGCAATCAAGGAGAAGATTCTGTCACTGAATTATGAAGACCATATGGCAGAGATTGAAACCGCAGATGCACAGGATTCATATGGGGAAGGGGTGATTGTTTTGGTAACTGGGTGTTTAATTGCTAAGGATAATGTGAGAAAGAAGTTCACACAAACATTCTTTCTGGCTCCACAAGACATCAGCTACTTTATCTTCAGCGATGTTTTTAGATATATTGGAGACAGTAAGAGCCAGATTAATTCTGTGCCAGGTTTGGGATCATGATGTATTATTCCACTCTAGAATTTGCTTTATATACAAAACTTCAGCATTTTTGTAGTGCAGGGAGAGTATCGAGTTTTAATTTTTGTACAATGAGTCTCTTTTTTTTTCTTCTTCTTTTTTTCTTTTTTTTTTTTTGGGTTAATATGATTTTATTTGTGGATGAAGGCTACTTGCATTATTACCTTTATACTGAATTAAAGGCTCGAAATTATGAAAGGAAATTCAATGAATTTTGAAGGAACACTTTAAGTTAAGGGAAAGTGATATAGGACTGATTTTTTATTTTTGTTTTCTAAAATGGTTGTATTGTATTGTATTTTATTTTCTGGGCTAATTTTGGATTCAGAAGAGTATACAATTCTTTAATGTTATCATCTATTTCTGGTTATCAGGATATTTTATTTTCACTTTTTTTATCACATTTCAGTGAGAAAGGCCACGGATGATGATTGTATTGTTTGTGCTGACACCCTCAAGTGGGTTGCCTATGGGCCTTGTGGTCATAAGGACGTCTGCTCTACCTGTGTCATTCGTCTCCGATTTGTTTGTGAAGATCGCAGATGTTGCCTCTGCAAGCGTGAATCAAATATCATCTTTGTTACCAGAGTTAGTGATGTTTCTAGTGTTTTCAACTACATTTTTTTTTAAGATTTCAGCAAATAGTAAATTTGACACCCTGAAATTCTATAAATTCTATTGTTTGATAAAGTGTTTCATTCTCCATTGGTTCAATTGTGACTTTTCATTGATCTTCTACATAATTAGCGCCTGTGGTCTTGATATTAAAATACTTGTTCTGGTCATTTTCCAGGCATTGGGGGATTATACAAAGGTAATAGATGATTTCACAGCTTTTCCAGATGATCCACCCGAAGGTCAAGTTGGGTCTTACTGGTATCATGAAGGGACACAAGCATTCTTTGATGACTTGGATCATTACGAGATGATGAAAGCCATGTGCATGTTGTCTTGTGCTGTTTGTCAGAAGGATGAACAAAGAACTGCTGGATCAAAGAGACGAGGGAAGTTTAAGAACCTTGAGCAGCTTAAAAGTCATTTGCTCAATCGGCATCAGCTGCTTATGTGCAGTTTGTGTTTGGAAGGCAGGAAGGTAGGATGACCATTATGTGGCATGTTGTCCAATTACTAATGTTATTGAAATAGGTTGTTTCTCATTGTGAGTTTGCATGGAAATTTGATAGTCTGCTTTATGCCATAATAATGGATGTATTTTCTTTTAGCTCCCACATTAGTTGTCTGCTGATTGATATCATGATACAGATTTTTATTATTGATCTGGAGGCATGAATGTTGATGCTTACACAATGATACCTTTGACTTTATCTTGTATTTTTTGAACCAGGTATTTATATGTGAGCAAAAGTTATATAGTAAAGCACAGTTGAATCAGCATATATGGACAGGTGACTCAACAGTTGATGGCAATGAGAGTGAGGGAGGTGGATTTACAGGACATCCTTTCTGTGAATTCTGTCAAAACCCATTTTATGGGGACAATGAGCTATACTTACATATGTCAACTGAACATTATACTTGCTATATATGCCAAACGTAAGTCATCCTTTTCCTTAATAAAACTTTTGCAGTTTGCAGACAATAAATTTTAGGCATACTAATACTTTATACTGTGCGTATGATCCATTGGGCTTGATACAGGCAGCATCCGGAACAGTATGAGTACTATAGGAATTATGATGACATGGAGGTCAGAAATGTTATGTTTTCTCAGATCTTAATAGCCTGGCTCTTCTACTATACTTCCTTGGTTATGTTTGATTCTGTATTAACATCAGTTAATTGAGCCACAGATTCATTTTCGTCTAGAGCATTTCTTATGTGAGGACGAGGACTGTCTCTCCAAAAAGTTTGTTGTGTTTTCAACTAATTCTGAATTGAAGGTCATATCTTAGCACATTTATATATAATCATTTTTTTTTATCATGCATATATTCCGTGTTCAGTTCTGAAAACTCAATGGCATTTGATCTTTTTTTCATCATATTCACAGAGGCATATAGCCATAGAACATGGAGGACGCAAGTCCTATTCTAAGCGTAATACCACACTGCAGGTATATATTTTTGACGTTTTTTATTTCTTATCAATGTTAATGGAGTCCCTCTTAACTCTTAGACCTCTCATTCTATTTCCTTCTTACTTTTTCTCTTTTAGTTTCTTTCTCATTTCAGACAATTAGTTGCTATGTTTTACTGCCTTCCGGTTTTTTATTGAAATGAGGTTATAAATTGCTTCTTCCTCTTTCATCAATCTATCCTGCAGATGCCAGTAAGCTTCCAGTATCAATGGAGTTATGATCAGAATCATGAGGGTTGGGGACACGGTCTTGATTCACCAAGCAGTATAATTTCGTCAGGAACTCAGACTAGTCTACCAATAGGTCATACAGAATGGTTCTACGATTCTTCAACAAGTGCCCAAGTATTTACCAGTGATTCAGGAACTCGTGAAGATAATTCAATTGTTGATCCTTTTTGGTCATTAGCAATCATAGATTCTGAGCCATCTTCAGGACATTGTAACACACCACAAGAGTGTAGCTATGATCTGCTGGCAGAATCATCTTTCCCTCCACTTACCGCAACATTTAACAGCAGCCAACAGAACTCCAGTAGCAGTTCAGTAGGATTAGCTGGATGCAGTTATAGGGCCAGGCCTGCATTCAATTATCAACCTAATGTGTCAACCAGGAGGTAACAGTGAGTTTCTTTCATTCATGTGGATTATCATCCTTGTTGTGTGTCTTAGTGGGATAGTTTGTGGTGAAAATAGCTTATTGCTAGATATAAATGTCTGTTGGCCCCATGACATGATGATAACAATTATGGTATATGTTAGGTTAGATTGGGTTGGG